AGGCAGTAGTATAAGATATAAAACGTTAATTTGGTACAGGGAAAAAGTAGTCATCTAATAAGTACATATCTCTAATATCAATTAATATCACTCAAATTCGCTTGGGATAAATCCATTAAGGACCTCTACCGACAGTGTGAAAATGGAGGAAATCGGAAAATAATCCCGCCGTCCTAATTTATAACGGTTTTGTTAAAAACTACTGAAAGTCTGCTTCACAGACATACAATTTTACACCCCAGATGGTACTAGAGGGCTTTATAGGAGGCGGTGTGAAGTTTTGACGACGGGCGTGGAATCGCCGACATTTAGGGGAAAATTCATATTTCGAGACTTACTCGACCGATTTACCCCTTATTCGGTATATAATATTACTTTGTAATTCCTATACTACAGTGAAAAACCACGCCTACTTCTCATATAACACAATTTTAAATTCCATACGATTCTTTTATTTTCCTGTATGCAAATCAAGAACCAATTAATGTATCCGGATAAAAAAACGCTCAAAAATTTTTAAAATCGGACTATAACTTTTGAAGAACCCAAACACCAAATATGTATGTATGTATGGCTGACTTTTTGCCGAAAGTATCGGTCAAACTGTGAGATATATTATTGTAATGCGGTGAAAAGTTTGGAAAATTGATTATAATCCATTCACGATTTTGTCGAACAATGCAGTTAAACCCTTTCGCTATATTTTTTAATATTACCAAAACCTGAAGTTATTTCTCCGGCTATAATCTTTGCAAGTTGCAAGAGAAAAAAATGTTCGGCTACGCCTGAACTTACCTCATCCTTACTTGCTATTTGTTGACAGAACTACATATATTACTTATTTCCGAAGAACAACTGTATATCTACATGCACATGTATTTATGGTATACATTGTGTAACTTTTTTAAATTTCATTGCCAAAGCATATCATAGGATGGAAAGAGTTTGTTAATCGGATTATTTTATTAAAGGGGTTATATCCATTTGTAAATTTAAAAATAAAACAAGAGAACGTTAACTGCGGTTGCACTGAAAAAACTTGATTTTGATCGTTCAGGTAATATGACAGCTATATGTTATAGCCATTCGATCAGAACAATTTTTTTTGAGATAGCATCGCTGCTTTAAGCAATAACTCATGCCAAATTTCACGAAGAAGAATATTCTACGTAAATTTGAAGTTGATCCAGCAAATAGTATTTGTAAGCATATTTTAACTTAGTTGACTCCTAAACCTTTAAACCTCAAAACGCTGTTTTCTTATCCTTCGATCATTATTAGTATTCATTGCTTTTAGATTTGATATTATTTTAAGAAGAAAAATCTTTTTCACCGCGAGAGACCTTTTTTCGGAGGAAACCGTTTTTACCCTCCTGGAGGTAATGCAAAAATGTTTAAAGTGAATAATAAAGTATATTTTCTTTTTTATAATTTGATCGCACGCAGTGTAAAATGCGTAGTGTTGTATTCGTAGCGTCGAAAATGGAGAAGATGCCACTACTCTTCCTTCTCTGCTTCGTTTTAATTATTGGAGCAATTTACGTCCAGAGGAGTTTACTCATACGCTCAGGGTGACGTTAGATTACCATATGTTGTGTTGTTAATATCAACTTAATCGAGTTAGATAGACGGCTTCTTAGTAGAATATTATTAAGTCTAAGTCATAGAAACTACGAACGAAAAGTTCGAACATAATCCAAACTGGAATAAGATCAAAAGTTAGGTTAGATTAGGTTTAATGGCTGATCCGGAGATCGCACTTGGATTACTATATGCAGTCCTTTGTGAAGCCATAAAAATAGAACTCCTATGCCCCCTAAGGTCAATACAAATTTTTCAAGCGTTTCTTTTATATTCCAACCAGTGCGGTGGGATCTCTTAAAGTGGGAGCTCCCAAAGGACAGTCAAGAAGGAAGTGTTGAGATGTTTCCACCTCTTCTTTTTCCATACAGCTTCTGTAGCTGGCGTCCGGTAAAATTCTCAACCTTATAGCATGGACGCTGATAGGGCAATGGCCATTATAGTCCCCACAACTAAAGATAGGCTAGCGTTACTGAGGGCAAAGAGCTTACTGGACCTGTTACGATCGATCTTGGGCCGAAAGGATCTTGTGTCACCGCATGAACCGATGTTATCTAGTTATCCAGTTGTAGAACACACGAGGCGTTCCCTGAGTACTGAGTACTTCATGGCCCGCGGACCGAGGTTGCCAACAATGTTTCTTTGACTTTTTCCTGGGTGCTGCCGCCTAGTGAGGCTACCTAGTGTGAGTAAATATTAGGAACCATCGTATTAAGTGGTTGCAATGGCAAACGATTAAATTTTTTTACTCATCTTACTTCTCTGCTTTGAAAAGAGAAAGTTGATTCCATCCTGAGTAAGCTCTCTCTCTCGCTAAAAGATTCTCTCAAGACGTCGGCCCGACCACAATTGACTTGCAGCACATATTGCTTTGATACGTTTGCTGTAAATTCGATTCGTTCAAAAACAATGTATTAATATATTTCGAGACTGCTTTTAATTATTATTAAAAATATAGTTCTTTTTCGAGATACATATATGGAGACCTAAGTGTCAATTTCAAATTTCAAATTTCCATAAACATAAACATTCAATTTACTAAGTAAGAATCGACTTTGTATAATTCCTTTCATAGAATCCTAAGCTATAATGCTTCAAAATCCATTTCAAATAGCTTATAATGAGTTGGAGTTGATTTAATTTTCTTAATAATACTTCAATTTAATATTGTAAAATCAGTTTAGTGAGTTTAAATTTGATTAAAAAGTGCACCGTGAAAAACTCCGCCCCAATGATTTCTGGTTAACTCGAACCCTGGTATTACATGTGCGTGCACTGTTAGTCATTAAATTTAACTGTAAATTTCAATGAAACATGAGTCTGCAGAGCATACAAATTAAGGCTAGGCGTACTCACATACACACATGTTAATAGCTGTGTATCCAAACAACAAAAACAGCACAGAAGCATTTAAAGCAGGTGTAAATAATATTTTCGGAGCCCCATAAATGGAACGAGAAGAGCTGAGAAGTGTGAAGAAGCTTTAAAATTAAGAAATCAGCGGAAAAGTGGCATAAATGTGCTGTTAGCAAGTAAATTTGTACGTGTTTGTGTGTGCACATTTTATGTGACACTCTGCAATTACATAACAGCCTTACCAAATCAGTCTAGGGGACTGCTAGACAGACAGTGGAATGCATATTTTTAACTTTCTAATTCTTTTCGTTCCATTTTTTTAAGCTCTTCGTAAAACGATACGAGCTGTATAATTTACAAATATAGAAATATGGATGCATAAAGGTGTATGAGTATTTTCTTCTTATGAAATTCTCATTTACTTTCGCGCCAAAAAATTGTACCGGCTAACTACGGTAGCAACTAATGAGGCCGCCGGGCATGGCGTAAAATTGAAATGCAACACCGCGTGTGTATGTGTGTGTAAACGTACCAGAGAAGAAAACCCTTTTTGACAGAAAATAAGACACGATTTGGGATTGGTAGAAAAGTAGAATTAAAAAAAAAAACAGAAAGGACTGCACTGAAGCTAGAATACCTCTCACAAATACCTTTAAGAGATTCCTTTAAGAACTTGATTTTGATCGGTCAGTTTGTATGGCAACTATACTTGTATGCTATGATCATCCGATTTGAACAAGTTCATCAGAGATTGCATTGCTTATTTGGTCGTTCCATGCCAAATTTCGTGAAGACGTCTCGCCCAATAGAAAAGTTTTCCATACAAGCACTTGATACCTAATGTTCAGTTTGTATGACAGCTATGTGGTATAGATAAGATATCGACGGTTCCGACAAATGGACAGAGAACAGACAGACGGACATGGCTAAATCGACTCAGCTAGTCACGCTGATTATTTAATTTTATATATTATAGAGTCTCTGATGTTTCCTTTTGGGTGCGTTGACCAGTAAGATCTCTAACAATTGCGGCAATATGGACCTTACTAAGAGCAAATTGTTCAGCGAATCTTCTGCGTTCTGCACTAGGTCTGAAGGATCTAGCGGTCACACGTGGTCTCGTTGTTGATCAGCACTTGGTAAGCTCTCGCAAAGTTCAGAGATCCAGCGATGGTAAAGGACCACGGAAACCCAACTCGTACCCAATCCGCTGTTCCGAAGGAATGTTATTTGAACAACTCGGTTGATGAGTTTTGAAGACATAAATTTTAGCTAACTATGGACAGTGCTATCTCCGCCGTTCAATTATTTTCACTAGCTGTGCCATCCTTAAGAACATACATTTTATCTTGTCCTGGATATTTCCCAAATCTGCTTATTTCACATAGTAGGGTTTCACTGTGAAATGCACTGTTCCCACCCAGTTTGGTTGCGAAAAGCTCAGCATAAAGATATATTAGAGATTGAGAACATGTCCATTTTCCAAAATGTTTAAAAATTTCTTAATTGGGTCAAGCCCAATATTTGGTAAGGAAAAATTTCTCATCTGCCACTTTGGCTTCCTGGAGTTGGTAGACGGAGTCGTAGAACCAGGTTGAATCAATACAATCTGGGTTGCATAAACAAGCTTAATATGTTACGGTAACTTAGAGGACACTTAATCAGAAATCAGAAATGAAAGTGTTTCATTTGTTTTTGGTATAATTTTGCCACTGTCCTAAACTGATAACATCAAATTCAGATTAAAATCAATTTTATCTCAAAAATAATAAAAAGTGGGCTCGGTTTTCAGAACACTTTGGCATCTTTTTCTTTTGCAGCAGACTTCTTAACCTCCTTCCATGGGTTAGCCTAAAGAACAGCCTCCTCCTACTGCAGTTAATTACATCAAACCCTGCCTACCTGCATCGCAATGAATATAAGAAATTAATCAATGACAAAATGAAATGTTTCGAGGCCATTTTATATAATCTACAGGTTCACTTTATTCCGCTTAACAACATTTGGTGCATCACTTTTAGAAAATAGAATTCTCGTTAACTTAGTATCACAAAATTTCCTATCTATTTGCGTAGCACAGCAACCGCGGGCGCTGAGGCAGCCACTACTGGTGCGGCGGCATAGGCGGCAGGGAAAGCGGCGGAGTGAGCAATCGAGTGCGATGAGTAGCTGCTGGCATAGGGAGCGACGTAAACAGCATATTTGGCGGTGTGGGCGAAGAGGGCAGAGTAAGCAGCGGCGAATGGAGCGCCATAGGCAGCAGCAACTGGGCCAGCAGCTAATGGAGGGGAGTAAGCCAATGGAACTGGAACAGCCAAGAGACCGGGCTTAGCAGCACCGAAGGTGACAGCGGACAGTGCGAGGAAGCAGACAGCGACAACTAGAGGAAGGAGGAAAGTAAAGTTCTTTATTATAAAAATCTTAAATAATTTTACAATTTAACTGTGGAACTCACTAATTTGGACATGTTGATTTAGCTGAAGATTGGACTTCTTTACAATTGAAATAGTATGGAATTGTGAATTCGTTGTGCAGACTACTTAATTTTATACGAAGTTCAAATAACTATCTTCGTCTTATTCGCACACATTGCACTTCCAACCAAACCTTGAAGTGCCCAAAAGTAACGGGTTTATAACAACAATTGAATGCGTCATTGTTTGCTATTGACTTTGATTTTTAATTGTTTAGGAAGTTTCCAAAGTCTGTGTCTATAACATTTTCATTATTGCCTTTGACGATGCAAATATTTGTTGCAATTAAATTTGCATGCGCTAAGGCCGAATAAATGCAGACACCTTGCTTCTTATGCTAAGCGAATGCTCGCTTTGCGCTCAGCCATAAAAGGTATTAGACGCGCACCTTTAACGTCTCAATAAGTAACCCAGTAACTAAGTACAATAAATACGTGACAAGAACTCGGTGAATTGTGGGCTTAAGACCTAACCAAGTCATTTATCGACTTATAGAAAGAGCTTTCCATTTGTACTTAATAGGTATTTAATAAGCATAGGATGAGGACTAAATATATTGGTCGTTGTTTTCCAGATGCGTAAGAAATTTAAAAATTTGTGGAATTTGTTGCTATCACATCAATTCTCCATGAATTTATAAATTTTATTTTCTCGTAACATCTTGCTACCGAGAGCAGATTAGTTTTGTTCACCTTACGGTTATTTGCAACACCTAAAACTAATCGAGATAGATATGGAGTTATACATATATATATATAAACTAGAAGACCCCGGCCACGCCTTGCTGTGGCTAAGGTATAATTAAATTATATTGAGTAAGCAGTTTAATTTAGTAAAATGTTATTATCAAAACTAATTACATCATTTTTTTCTGTCTATATAGATCGATTACCGAGCCAGTTATGATTTAAATAATTATTTTGTGCGACTGGGAAAATAATATTAATTAATTTTGTCCCTGTACAATAGTGTTGAAATTGGCTAAAAGTTTAGGGCATTTCGTATTTAGTTGCAGTTAGTATATGAAAGCTAACTTCTATTCTGAAATCTAACTCATAGTATACATATTTTATTATTATTAAATACTTACATTAAAATGAAATCATCACTGGTATTATTAACATCACCATCAAAGTCGGTACATTTAATTGTGGCGAGTAATTTTCAAAAATTTGTAAATTAGTGCGATAGAATTTAATTAAGTGACCACATTTCCGAACAAACGATGCTCTTTCAATAAAGTCTATGGCTGTGAATGACGATGACATTCGTTACGTGCGTTTTTTATAATATCCAAAATACAATGTATTTTTTCAATCTTTCTGAGACATTTTCTTTATTTTTTTTCCGTAAGTACCTTCTACACAGGATTAGAAAACCACAAAAAAACAGCCAAATCGGTCTAGCCGTTCTCAAGTTATAGCGTGACAACGGGAAAAAATTTTCATTTTTATATACAAGTATATAGATACGCAGGGTAACGAGACGAGTTGAAATCTGGGACACTGTCTGTAAGTCCGTCCGTTCGGGCAAGCGATAACCTGAGCAAAAAATGAGACATCGCGATGAAATTTGTACATGTGTTCCTTGGCATTCATGGAAATGTCGGTTGTTGAAAATTTATAAAGTGCTATTACTAAGCTCCAAATTAACACACAAAACTGTAATTCGCAGTAGAGAGGGGCATCTGTGCGATAAGGATTTTGAAAAAGTGAGTGTGGCCCTGCCTACTAATAGATTTAATATTCATTTCTGATAAATCTCTGAAGTTATATCGACCAAGTTTACTGAGGTGGAATACTTTTCACTCCCCATATATCGGTTATGTTGAAAACAAATAAAGTGCAATAACTCACTCATATGGTACGGATGTGCTTCAGAATTCGGTGTACCGATTAACAGCCTTGTATGACTTAATATCTATCTTGATTAGTTTTGGATGATACGATATTATAATATGTAGCAAGATGTTGCAGGAGTAAAAAAAATGTTAACTTCGGCTGCACTGATGCTGTGAGACCTTTCACAGGTGCTTTTATTAAAACATACAATTTATGGTGCCTAGATGTTTAGAGAATGGCGGTTAAACGCTTCTGATTCCATTTAAAAAGGCCTATTTGGAAAATTTTCTTTTGGGTCAACAAGGAGTGTATACCAAATACCTCTGTTTTGTACTTATGCGATAGCCGAGGCTAGACAGAATACAGGACTAAAAAAGTCTGGCCTTTGAGTGCGAATTTGTACCGGGTAGTATGAATGTGATTAATGCCCTTCTAATAGCCAGAGACCGCATTATATTACCCACTCTTTATATAAAGTTACAACAACAAACAAGGATGAGGAATGTTTTAAATATATCAGTAAAATATTTCCGAAATTGAGCATAGAAAAAACTAGAGCTTTTATTTTTGGACATTTTAATGATTGTATGACAGATGAGGAAAAATTGCATGGATTGAATTTATTTATATGGGTTGTGCAAAATTTCTCATTTCAAGCAGCTCATGTTGTACTTCCAGAGACAGTGATGTAACGTGAGCTTCTATATGCACTTCCTCTTCAGCCATTTAGACCGCTTCAATGTAAATTAAAGTGACTTAAGCGAAAAAAAGGAGAATGCTTTCAACAGGATATTCGCACTATGGAAGAGCGACACCAGGGTCATTGGAATGAAAATGATTACTGTTGGAGCATTCAAAACAAGACTCATGCAAAAAAAGCACATAAGTCCTTTTCATGTTAGGTAAGAGGAATATACTTTTTTTTATTGTGGTATTTTTGGCTAAAAATGTAATATGTTCAATCTATGCCAAATTTTGTGAAATAAAAAAAGTATTTTAAGAGGGTCATGAGTTTGATGGATCAGTTTGTATGATAGTTATAGTGGTTCAATTTGAAAATTTTTTTCGGAGATAGCAATATTGCCTTGGAAATAAACCATGCCAAATTTCTTGAAGATATCGTCAAATGAAAAGGCTTTCATCGATCGTTCAGTTTATATGCCAGCTATATTCTATTGTAGTATGATCTGAAAAGTTTCCAATATTGCCTTAGACAATAACACCGGTAAACACTATTTTTTCACAAGACTTCTGTGATGATTTTTATTCATGTTGGTGTACCCTGATTAACAATATGTAATACTAGTTTGTCCCCATATACGTGTCTTTTTTAAATAACTTTATTTATACGACTGTATAACTGTTGGATTCGACTAACTTTTATCATATTTACTACGTTTGTATCTGAAGTTAGTGACCCAAGTTGTGAACCAGTCCACAAATATGGCAACGGGAAATTTTCTTGGAAACCATAAATCGGAAAATTACAAAGACATAATAAATGAACTAATAATTTCATATAAAGCTTTGGAGTAAAATATGTCCTTCAAAATACATATGCTGCGCTCTCATCTGGATTTCTTTCCGGCAAATTTGGGTGCTGAGAGTGACGAACAAAGGGAGAGGTTCCATCAGTATATAACCTTACTGGGAAGCAAGGAAAATGGATCGCTGAAATGCTAGCAGATTATTGTTGGAGACTTAAAAAAGACCAACCAGAAGCCAACTTTTCACGAAAATCATAAGTAATTTGTATCTTACGCAATAGTTTCTCCAAATGCAGCTGATTTTCGTAATTAAAAAAAAAATATGTACTAATAGGTTTCGCCATCACAAGAAAACCTGACGTGGCAGTTTTTTTTCCATTCACATATAATATATATGCCCTATTCAGGGTATAATTAAGGGCATATACTAAAAATGCTGCAAAATCGCAATTATGTAGCTTCATATGCTTAAGTATTGTATTATTTTTTTCTGATCATCAGATTTATTCCATTGCAAAGGTTCATATTAATTTCGAAATTACAGTTTTCAAAATTCTCCTCTATTTCTTCAAGACAGCAACAGCTGGGGCAGCAACTACTGGAGGGGCAGCATAGGCAGCTGGGAAAGCGGCGGAGTGGGCAATGGAGTGAGCCGAGTAGCTGCTGGCGTAGGGTGCGACATAACCAGCATATCCTGCCGTGTAGGCGAGGGGGGCAGAGTAAGCAGCGGCGACTGGAGCGGCATAGGCAGCAGCAACGGGAGCAGCGACTAGAGGAGCAGAGTATGATAACAGACCGGGTTTAGCAGCACCGAAGGCAACAGCGAAGAGAGCGAGGAAGTAGACCGAGAACTGCAGAAGACAAAATTATATTTATTTTTTTATTAGAAAGAACGCCAGTGAAATCGGCAGTGTACATAAACTTTTATAAATATTGAATACAATAAAAATATTCCATTTTATTTTAGCATACCAATTTGAACATTTTGATAGCTGTGTGTTTCGCTGAAGATTACACTTCTTTGATGTCAATTGTTCGTCAACCAGTTACTTTTATACGAAATTCATCATCCCATCAACATTCAAGTAATGCTTTGAGCGCCCTTACAATTAACCTTGATAACTGTTAGAGTACGGGTCTATACTAGCAATTGGGCAGCCATGAGTCAATGCTCATTGTAAACTTTGTGCGGATTTACACGCAGCGCACGCAAGTGCTCTCTCTTTCTCTCTTCATCGGTATTTAGTAGTAACGTTGCCATTCATAAAATTGCATAGAGTTTAAGTCTTTATAACATTGTGCTAAATTAGGTGGTAATTAATTGCTATAGCGATCTATCATATATGCGACTGCCGGCACTTATTGTATTGGTAAAGGTACATACTTTTATGGCATTCCTTTACCTGGGCCTTTCCATTTGTTTCAAACATATTAGTAAAGAGTACGAATTTTAATCAAACCTCTTAAAGTAGCAATTTTATATGCTTATACTATACTTGCAAGTAAAAATAAAATAAAGTAAATTAAGAGTAGGCTGTTGTTAGTAATGCCAGTGCGTTAAACTTCTTCATTCTCTCAGCAGGCAATGCTTGGAAGTCGTCATAATTGAGAGGTCATTGAAATTATCAACCTGAAATAAACTTGAGGTATAACTTAAAAACAATGAATGAACGTAGTGCAGAGCTAAGTTCGAAAGCAGCCGAAGATTCTATAGTTTCGCAATATGAGAAGATCAAAAGCGTAGAAATTTTTCCAGATATTAGAAAAAACTTATATATACAATAAATATGTTACATATGAATTCATTATCGATTGATCGCTTTATTCACTATAAACGTTTAACCATGTAGTGGTTATTAAAATATATTTCTTTTATCTTTATGAAAATAACACTTATATTAAGTTATATAAACAATGTAAATTCAACTGAAAAGTCGAATATCACAATATTGGGTATATCGGGGCTAGATGCAGGTCTAAACTAATTCATTGACCTTTACTTCAGACATTAAACTAAAGTATTGTCGAGAACTAAGGTAAATCATCATATAAGTATTACTTTAAAGCAAAGAGAAACCAACATGGTCATTGGTTCCGACGCAAACTCGCGGCAAACAATTTGGAGAAACTAGGGCACGAATTGTTGAAGGCCTTTAGTATGCAACAGGGGTAAATCACCCACTTTTGTCACGGCATTCAGGGAAGCCACAAATGCGATCGCACCTTTCTGATCACAGGTACATTGCGTTCAGTCTGGACGTAACGTGTTCCGAACCCGCCAAGGGGGAAATCCTGTCTCAATTCGGATGCGGTCGATAAGTGCGTCGAAGTCTTCGCCCTTCTCATAAAGTCTAAACGTCTCTTCAAAAAGGCCCGTACGAGCCGGCCAACTAATGATTTGACTTTGTACAAAGTAGAACTCACAATGTACAATTCCGTTATAAAAACTGCAAAATGTCTTAATGAAGAGCGCTTTGCGGCAAGGGGCTGGTATGCATCTCGCAAAGAACCTCACTCCCCTACGGTACTTAAAGGATGGGAATGGTAGCTAGACTCTGAGCAGCCCGGACTCTATCCTTCCTGTCATTTTCCGAGCAATCCTTTTCAGACGCATAGAAGCTGGGTACTTAGATAACTGCTCACATACCTTCGGGGGAAGGATTTGCTGGAGGAGAGGAGCGGAAAGATTTTTACGGATGGATCATGCGGTAAGAGATAACATTTTACCGGAAGCCAGTTGCATCAGCTACCTGGAAGAAAATGAGATAGAATAATTTCAACACTTCCTTATCGAATGGTCCGCCTTAGTCAGATTTAGGCTAAAACACCTCAGATCTCATACTTTAAGCCATCCAGGTGAAATGGAAATAAAGCATCTAAGACAATTTGTGATAGGTTCAAGGCGCTTTATCGATAGCTGATATCCAACCACAGGAGCTTTTATCATCTGGCTTCACAAAGAACTAGACATAGCAGTCTTAGTGTGATCTCCCGCCATCTTTTACATCGATTCATGTGCACCCTTCCGTGCCATCTTTATTATAAAAGTTAATTCCTCTGACGTTTTAGGTCTGCATCATGATTTTTGACTTAGTTATAGTAATTCATATTTTTTAAGTAACAGTCAATAATGATTCAAAGCACCATCGCAATACACCTCAGTGTGTCAAAGATTGCATATACCAGGTTTTATTACGATATCAAAATTTTTGCTGAAGTCATCGCGTACAGGTACAGGCGAATGAACGGACAGACAGGCATCTGAAATTCAATTTTTCAAATATTCCTGATTTCAAAAGTTTATCCATAGGCCCCCTTATGGTTGAGCCTACAAAACTCACCAGCTAGTCAGAATTACATTTGGTATTTAATATTCTCATAAGACCTTCTTGCTACAATTTCCAAATTGAACCACGACCACATCGTTTGCCCAAAGGATGTCATTTTAAATTATTTGTTATTTATCCATTTGACTTTATACCATTTCGTTAATATATCTTAGCTATAAATAAAAATTATTCAAAATCTAACTAGGAATTCACCTAGCTCTTGTTTTACCAAATATATTATATAAAAATCACTTTGTTAACAATTTTACTTGATCGATATTGTATTCCTTTTCATAAAGATTTAATTTATCACAATTGAGAAACTAAACACTTTACCGGCTTTCTGTCTATTTCATTAAAACAGCGACCGCTGGGGCAGCAGCATTGGCAGCTGGGAAAGCGGCAGAGTGAGCAATCGAGTGAGCTGAGTACCTGCTGGCGTAAGGGGCAACATATCCTGCGGTGTAGGCGAGGGGGGCAGAGTAAGCAGCGGCGACTGGAGCGGCATAGGCAGCAGCAACTGGGCCAGCAGCAACGGGGACAGCGGCAAATGGAGCAGAGTGAGCCAATGCAGCTGGAGCAGCCAACAGACCGGGTTTAACAGCACCAAACGCAACAGCGAACAGAACCAAAAAGCAAACAGTGAACTGGAATATGTTTATACAATATAAGTTACACAATTTTATTTAAGAAATTAAATTAAAGTGCTTCAATCTACCAATTTGAACATATTTTTAATTTAGGATTTTTTAGCTTCTTTACAAATGAAAAGGTAAGCAGATTGTGATATCAATGGCTAAAATGTCGGTTTTCCCGCATAATCATGTATTGCACAATTTTCAATGAAGATATGAAACAACGGTACTGCAATACTAAATAGAAAATATCGCGTGATTTCTTGCATTGACCTTGAACGATATTTGCCTTCCAATATTTCATTAACATACAAGTATTCATACCTACATATAATTTGCTGTTTCAAATTGACAGTTGAACAAACAGCTGGAATTTGTCTTATCTAAAATAGTAAGGTAATAAGAAAAACATTTCATTTATTTTGTGTATTGCGAAAACTTTAAAATCTTTATTAAGGTATTAGTCAGCAAATTCATTATAATACGGTAAAGTAAAATCAAGGGTTCGAAACACCTAAATCTAACTTTTATTTTAAATAAGTAAAGTATATTTGGTCGAGAAAATATATCTACTTAATTTCATTAATATAATATATTACAAATATTTATCGATATATTATAAGTAATACAGCGTCTACCAATAAGGAAGACGTGATTTTCACAGCTCGGGACGGCTATGTTTGTTAACGGATTTGTGTCAAATGTTATCAGTGTGTTCAGTAAGTTTTGCCATTTCATTATGTCATGTGTCACTTTGGTACAACGCTTGAGAATTGTCCAAGCTTATTACGCAAATTCACGTTCTCCGAAAAATTTATAAATTCACGTTCATAGAAAAATCATCTTCTCAGATGAGGCCTGTTTTTGGCTTAATGGCTTCGGCAACAAACAAAATTGTCTATCGGGGAAAGTCAAAACCTCGTGTGGCTCAGCAAACGCAATTGTATCCCCGTTTGTAGCGAATTGTGGTACGGAGTCATCATATCATAGTCAAATATCCGCCAAGATCATGCGATTTAACGACTCTAGATTATTTTCTCTTGGAGTATGTGAAATCAAAGTTTTACGCTAGTCAATCAGCACCGTTCGAGGAGTTCGAAGACAAAATTCAGCGCACTATAGCCGAAATGCTGCACCGCTTGATTGAAAATTAATGTAAATGGGTGGAGATATGCAAACGGAGCCGTCTTGGCTGAAGGAAAAACAAATTTTATTTAGTGCACCAGACCACATTATTATACGTAAAAGTGCATTTCTTATAGCAACGGTATGTATAAATAAATGTGAAAACGGAACCGCTAGAGCTAGAGATGCAAAACTAACGATATTCGATAGTTTCGTTAGTTTAAAGAACTACTATCGATAGTTTTTCCTTTGAAATCTACTTACATTTCCCAGATTAAATTAAGAGACCTTGGCTTTTTACACTTCATTTCTATGAAATAATCTTTGGATTTATGTATAAAGCGGAGAACTCAGAAAAATTTATGTATAAACCATGTTAGTATATAAACTGCTCAGAGAGCTGACGAGTTAAAAAAGGAACATTTCTTTTTGTTGTTTTGTTTAAAAATAGTAATTTGTTAATGTTTTCAGCCTTTAGTGCTGTTCTCCTATCTGGTATTAGCAATGCAGCCTGACTAAACATTCTCTCCGATTCTGTTATTAAAATTAATAGAAAAGACTACTGCCTCTGAGTGTATTTATAATTATGTATATATATAATGAAATTCGATCACAACAGCATGTTCGCATAATATGTTTTAATTTCATAATTTTATTCTCCAAAATCAGGGGTACTAAATAAAATGGTCTTAATTCTTATTAAAATACTGGAAAACCGTGGCGTCAAAAACTTTGAATTTGCGACTGCATGTACTATTCATAAGTGAGGTTGTGTGCAACCGGCATTTCTGAATATTAGAAATTCTTACTTAATTGTAAATACATTCCTTCCAACAAATACAACACCTAATTATAGTATAAAAAATAGTTCAATTTAATAATTTGTATAATATTTTAAAACATTTCTCCACTTACGAATATGAAACCACATGCGCGCAACCAGCCAAACATTTAAAGATGATTTTGCGGGTACCATCCGTGCAAGCCACTATCTGTTAAATCACCATTTAATTACCCAACAGCGCTAACAAAGGTTTCTGTTAAAGTTTGTATGACTTTTTTATGGCCCAATTGACAATTCTAACCGAAACTCTTGTCTATCCGTGATCGTTCGTCCTTTTCTTACGCATTGGGCTTATGAGTGGCACGGTGTGAAATACAGACTGTGTACATATATAATATGTTAGTTTCCGCGCTAATTCCTTTTATGTATTGAGTTTCCATAGCCGTGACTTACTCGGTACATTTGGTATTATCAGACTATATCATTATGGAGCTTAAATAAGTAAAATTTTGCATTTAAAAAAATAAATTTTGGTAAATCTAAGGTTAAGGCATAAACCATCGATAGTCAAAATAATTTGTCGGTAGTGAGACGAACATAAAACTATCGTACTATCGATAGTCCCCATCAATTGTTTTGCAGCTCAATAACCGGCCAAAGTTCTTTGATATAAACATATTCGTTTCAGTTCAGAAAAAATTTATTATCGGATAATTTGTTTCGGAGTAATCACAACAACAAATTGGAAAAATGCTGTTTCGGGAAAAAGGCGTTTAATGTACCCTGTTCATAGTGTATAAATAGAATACCACCTAAAAGTGGACGTACCGCACCCGCCATGAACAAACTGAATCGTATGCATTTCCTAAGAATATTTATTTGAAACATTTTATATATTCTTCAAGTAAAAGAAATTATTTTTAGTGACTCGGTGCAGCTTCTTAAACTAATCGATAGATGCTTAAAGAGATAGGTTTATGACAATTAATATAACCGGATTTCTGTCCAAACTTTACGCAATCTATAACTTGAATAAACATTGTTTTTTTGTAAGTGTGCATAATCTAGTGCTCTAATTAGTAATATTTATACCTTATTAAAATAATACTATTTGGCAACAAAGTTCGTGGAAAAATTGCACTTCAGTTCCCGTCAAGTCGGTTAGTAACCACATACACCTTCTATATTACGGTTGTAATCAAAAATACCAAAATATCAGTTTATCAATATCAGATATCTTATGATAAGGATTTACATCTGGACCCGGTAAAAATTTGGAAATAAACGAGTTTTCGTACCACTTTCAAATGTAATTCATAATAATACTAAAAAACATTATCTTCAAGTCCTCGTTTCACAGTTTGAAAATAGAATAATCTCCAAACAAGACTACTAGAAAAAATCTGAATATAGTGCAATATATTATATATGTACATATTACGGTGGAGCGAAAAATATTTTGTTTTTTTTTGCTTAGCCTGAGGATCAAATTTGTAGATTAAAAAAAAAGAAAAGTTTTGGAAAAAAACATTTTTTTTTAACATCTAGAGTGAGGCCCACTCACTTTTAAAGCAAATTTTCGATAAGTGTTCTAGAAGCTGTGGATAGTCTTCTTTTTGGCCAATTGAAAGTTATAAACTTAAAAAAAAAATTTGTGGTCATTATTGGAGTTTTAAAAAAAGTCTTAAACGACAACATGCTTTTCTTAAGCGTTAAAGTAAATTTTGAGTCAAAAACCGTCAAATTCGGTAATTTTTATATAAATGTGAAAAGTTTAAGCCAGCAACACTTTTTTTTTGTCCAAAAAAAATGTTAACTCGAAATTTACTTTAAAAGTGAAAGCCTCTAGATGTAAAAATTTTTTTTTTTTATTTCCAAAAACAAATTTTTTTTGCTCCACCATAGTACATACACAGCAATGAGTACCAAAAACTATATGAAGCTATACAAAAGGATTTTTATACAACGTTTCTAAAAATTTCGAAACTAGCTACGTCATTTAATACAAATGAGAATAAATTTGTACTGAAATCCGACAGTTGAAATAATGAAACAGGGAAGTAGAAGTTGTATGTAAATGTTAACATAATTAGGCATTTAAAAAACTGTAGACATTCTGTTTAAAATTTAGATACAACCTCCTAATGAATCAACAACAACAACTAAAATTATTTGTTATGATATTTATTGAGTTCATATATGATCAGTCCATTATAGTTTCGAAACAAAATGTTCCTTGTTCTGGGTTTATTTCTTCAAGACAGCAACAGCTGGGGCAGCAACTACTGGAGCGGCAGCATAGGCAGCTGGAAAAGCGGCGGAGTGGGCAATAGAGTGAGCTGAATAGCTGCTGGCGTAGGGTGCGACGTAACCAGCATATCCTGCGGTATAGGCGAGGGGGGAAGAGTAAGCAGCGGCGACTGGAGTGGCATAGGCAGCAGCAACGGGGGCAGCAGCTAATGGAGCAGAGTAAGCCAATGCAGCTGGGGCCGCCAAGAGACCGGGCTTAGCAGCACCGAAGGCAACAGCAAAGAGGGCGAGGAAGCAGGCAGCGAACTGTAAAAATACGTACACCAAGTCAATATTTTGTTTATAATAAACGATTTTTCGAAAAGATTTACTGGACTCACCAATTTGAACATTTTGATAGATTTGTGTTTTTAGACTTCTTGACGAACGAAGTAGTAAGCGAATTATGATACAAAATATCAACAAATCGCTTGTTTATATATCTTATAGGAGTGCAAATAAATGCCGGCATTAGCTTAGGTAGTACTTATTTTAATGTAGTGAGTGAAGACGTGCTTGTACTACAAATTACGTATTGATATGCAGTATTTGTTGTCAGTGTCACTAGTGAACTAACTTTTAGTTATTATGTTTATGGTAGAGAGATAAGTAGAAACAAGTAAGCAAAGGTTAAGTTCGGTTGTAACCGAACATTTTATACTCTTGCGACTTGCCAAGAGCAAAGCTGGGGAAATACTCTTTCAATTTAATTAAGATTGTTCATATATTGACCGATATATGCGGTATTGCCGGAAATTCGAAAATCTTTATATTACAGTATATGGCGGCTAAGGGAATTATTGATCTAATTAATTTTTAACGTACAGACATACTATTATCTCCGAACTTCTATAACATATCTCACAAATCGATCGTTTAGATAAAAAGTTCGCTATTAGAACTGGGGTCTACATATTCGGTATCTGAGGGCTTGAACAATTTGGATCCGTTGTGGGTGGTTTTTGGTCATAAGGTGGCATGGCTCAGAAGCACTATCGTGCAAAGTTTTACCTGGATATATTGATGTATGATTGATTTGTATACTTGAAAGTGAGAGAATCGAGTGGAACTTAAAATTATGTTTTATGAAAAGTAGGCATGGTTGTTCTCTGATTTCACTCCCTTTTGCACTATAATGTAGAAATATCAGACTTATATTACGTACTGAATTTTATGTCTGTGACAAATTGAGTTATAGATTTATCGCACTTTTAGTAGCAGTAGTTTAACAAAACCGTTATATTGGCATTTTGAAAGTCATTTTTACAGGTTGGTAAGGATGTCAAAAATTTGCCCTGAGTGAGCCACAAGCATTTAATTTCACAACCAGGTTGGTAGAAAGAGCTTTATAGGATTTGGTATGAATATTAGACAAGGGGCGTGGCACCGTCCAGCTTTAGGTGAAATCGTATATCTCAGGACCTTCTCGATCGATTTCAACGATTTATTGTGTAAGTTTACCCCAACATTCCTATTAGACATGACCAAGAAATTTGCTCTTTTATAAAAATAAATTTTTGCAAATATTTTTTGTCATGGCTGACTCGAATGAATTCCAGCCGAAAGGTCAAATATTAAACCACTTTTGGCAATTATTTGGCAATTCGTCTCGGGCTTATCTGCGTAGCCAAACGACTTCATGTAACCCTACAAGAAATAGCCCAGCGATGTAAAATCGCACGATTTTGAAGGCCACGCCACAGTCCCACGACGCGAGATAATGCGCTCACCAAAATCTTCCTTCAGTACATTGATTGTTTCGTTAGCTATATGCCACACGTCTTAAAAATCGATTTAGCCATATCCGTATGTCTGTCTGTATGCATATATACTATTAGTAGTAGTACTAGTTCATTATTATTTAAAATATCGATCTGAAATTTGCACGCGGCCTTTTTTTTTAAGAAACTGCTCATTTGTCGTAGCCGTCGATATTCGAACCCTATAACAGATACAGATGTTATACAAACAGATCGATCAAAATCAAGTTTTTGTATGAAAACTCTTTTATTTGAAAAATTATCTGCATCAATTTTGGCATGAAATATTGTTCCAAAGCAATGCTGCACTCTCCGAATATACTGTTCAGATCGGACAACTATAGCATATTTTGTTGAGAAATCCTTTATTCTGTCCCATAGAAATAACATATATTTAACCATAAATACGCATAAATTAGGAGTAAGTGCTAATTGGTTTAGATATAATGTTGATCCTAGATTGTTAGCTCGATAAGACAGTCTTCGCCATTTTCGGAGCAGGTTTAGCAGTGTAATCAACGGAATCGACGATTTCTTGGAACAATTTGTGACGATCGTCGTAGAAAGAGAAGAGTCACCATATACAGCACTCAAATCCTCATTGATTTTACTAAAATAAAATAGGCGAAATCAAACAGTAACCACCCTTAACCTTTCTTCCTTTATAACATAACTTTAAATTCCATATGTTTTTTTCATATTCCAGTATACAAATCAAACAATATAAATATAATATATTGGGTAAAAAATTTGTATGATTATTTCCTTTAAGGTATGCCATTTCAGGTCTAAAAATGTTAAAATCGTACCATAATAACTATTCAAGCCCTCAGATACTGGAAATGTAGACACCAGAGCCTATGGTTGACTTTTTGCCGAAAATATCGGTCAATCTGTGAAATATTTTATTAAAATTTGGGGGAAATACTTTTTTGATAATAGGATACCTTTGTGTCAAAAATGGGTTGAATCGGATCAATACTTCCTTTAGCCCCCATATACCTAATATCAAAATTTTCGACTTTCCAGTTTTTTTAGCCCCCATATAACTGATATTTACGATTTTGAAACGTCTGGCTGACTTTACTCCATATATATGTTTATATTTATAAAATTTCTTGAAAATAAGTTCCCAATTATACCTGAGCAATATCAACAATTAATGCAATCAGCCCTTCCATTTCTATGCCCCCCCCATTTCTATGGATTTAAGTAAAATTTTCGCTGACTGGAAGTCAAATTTAGTAATCAAACTAAGTGAGTCTATGATCTTCAAGATAAGTTAATATGGTACCAAATTTCATTGTAATCTATTCACCATTTCGTTGAACAATGAAGTTGAACATTTTCGCTACATTTCTTGATATAAAATTTCTCGGTTCTGTGGATTAAGAGATATTGACATTAACACTTATTATAAAGAATGTCTTTGCACAACATTGCACACATAGATCGCGAAGAAGGAAAATTCAACTACGTACAGTATGTCAAATGACCCTTTCTAAAAACTAAAAATACATACTTTGAATTCTTCTTTTTCTATCAACTTTTTATCTTGATTTCGTTACAACTCGCAATGGGTCAGATTTTCGACTACATTATGAAAAAATTGAATTAGTTTTCTATTTCTTCAACAAAGCGACAGCTGGAGGAGCAGCAGCGACTACTGGAGCAACGGCATAGGCAGCTGGGAAAGCAGCGGAGTGCGCAATCGAATGAGCTGAGTAACTGCTGGCGTAGGGTGCGACGTAACCAGCATATCCTGCGGTGTAGGCGAGAGGGGCGGAGTAAGCAGCGGCGAATGGAGCGGCATAGGCAGCAGCAACTGGGGCAGCAGCTAATGGTGCAGAGTAAGCCAATGGGGCAGCCAAGAGACCGGGTTTAGCAGCACCGAAGGCAACAGCGAAGACAGCCAAGAAGCAGACAGCGAACTGTTAGAAAGAATGATATAATATTATGTATATGACGTAATTTCATTAAAACAGAAATGAAGTTTTCAAACTTACCAATTTGAACATTTTGTTAATTTTGAGTTTTTGGACTTCTTTGTAAGCGAAGAGGTAAACGAATTGTGATATCTATAGTTAGGAAACGACTATCTTTTATACGAAATTCGATATTTATCCCACCCAATCACAAGAATTACTTGAAAGTGTGGTAAAATAACGGTTTTGTAATACTAAGTAGATATTGGTGCGTCACTCTTTTCAGTTGGCATTGAATACATATTGTGTATTAAACACTGTGGACTTCCAAATCTTTTCTGTTTAACACTTTGCTGACTGCGTATAATTTACATTATTGAAATTGTCTTACATTTAGATGACTTGGAGGCCGGCGGATAGCAGAATTATGTGCGTTACATACTAATTGTATTGTCAACTTGCTATGTTTACGTTCACTTTACATATAACCGCTATATTCGAAAATACTATTTAGTATAACGACATGCGCATTTAGCTTGACAGTAGCAGTAGCAGTATTTCATATAAAACAGTCCAAAAATGCATAAAATACTTACCCAAAGTTAAGTAGCAATAAAGGACAATGCGCAACGCCAACATGAAATCTCATTGGGTCCTTTACGACTTTTCAGCCTTGAGTCGGCTGAGATGGAATATCTTCCAAGCCACCCAATATTTAAATTTTATGAAATTAGACCGTAACGAATCCACCAAATTATTAAATGGTACTTAACTGGTTCTATGTTGGGAACACAATGATCTCGCTGATAGCTTATTTGCGCCTGTTTGAGTTCAGTCATTCATGCAACCACCTTTTCTAGTAGTCAAATAACTAACCAATGAATTTTGAATTTATTGGCAGACCCTAGATTTTTTACGCCGATATCGCTATATATTTGCCGATCAAAGAAAAATAAGTTATACCCCAGCTTAGTCATAATAATGTTGTGCTTGCTCTCCAATGTAATTGATATCTATTATATTATACTATATGAGGATTAAGACAGAGTGCTTACTACGTAATACCCTTAAATTAAATTATTATTATAATACAACAGTTTTTTTAACTTATCGTGTACATAAATTATAAAAATAATGAGAGGCGTTGAAGTCCGGGGGCTGACTGTCCGTCCAGCCGTCAAGCCCGTGTAAGCGATAACTTAGGCAGAAACGCGATGACTTCGTATACCATACATACTTGCTTCTTGGGATCATTGCCACGCCCACAAAATGCCATTAATCAAAAATCTATAAAATGCCATAACTAAGCCGCAAATTAAGATACAAAACTGTAATTTCCTACAATGAATTATAGTAGAGAGAAACATTTTCGATTTAACTTATATTTTACTTACCATTAAAGCTTTTACAACGAAACTTGCTGAAAATAAAACCTTTCTTTATATACTATGAAAATGATAAAATCTGATGTTAGTCACGCACACGCCTCATATAACGGTAATGTTGAGAACTACTAAAAGTGCGATAAATCAGAAAGCAAATGTATCAGAGACATTACATTTTACGCCTGAGACAGTAGTGAAGATTATAGGATCCGGTATCAAAGTTGAGCATTAGGCATGGCACCGCCCACTTTTTGATGAAATCTTATACATCAGAAACTACTTGACTTGATCAGAAACTTGACAAATTTGGTGTCTAACGTTATTTTGACATTCTCATGTTGTATTGTGAAAATGGACAAAATCGAGCAACATCCACGCTTACTTAATATATACTAAAACTTTTAATTTCATAATATTCTTTCACTTCCCTAGATATCGAATATTAGAAACACAGGTATATGAAGTATATGATTGAAATCGGTAAAATGGGGTCAATGCTTACATTAGCATCCATATTCCTAACATATTATAAAGTTTTTCGGTTAACTTCCGCTTGACTTTATATCGTATACACCTGTCAATATGTCAATTTTTTCCATACTTTTCCCAGCCCCCATATACGTAATATAAGAATTGCAAACTTCTGGTTGGATTTATAGGGTATACTCGTATATGGGTCAATATTTAAGCTGTCTAAGCAGAATTAAATGCACGTATAATATTTAATACACTACAGCATAATTCCAAAAATGTGTGAAATCTGTCTACGAACGATTCCAAATCTCATTTACTACATATAATAGTTTTCTATATTTTAGCAGACTTTATGCTGAATCTGTCGGTCAGTGTATCAGTTATCTTAAAAAAATTGCTTTGAAACATGTTCTCGTGCATACTTGTGTAATTGCAAAGGTTAATGCATTCAGATCATCCCCTAATATATACGCCATATAGTGATTTTTATCCAGTTTGGCTTTCCATGTGACTTTATAGCGTCTATGTCAGTCAAAATGTGTTATATCTTAATGAATATAATGGCCTTTTTAATTACGGTATGGTGTAGTGGTTCAGACTTTAGTCTAAAAACCATATCTCTAATATAAAGGCTTCCGATTATTTTTTCTCATGTACCCCATATATTAAATTTAACCCTTTTGGTTGTGGTTATATCACACATATCTCATTTTATTAAGAGTGTATTCTAGTGTAGAATTTCGAAAAAATCGATTTTTTTATATTTTAAAAGTTTAGCTATTAAGAAATATATCTACAAGATGATTTTTGAAAATTTAAATTATTTCCTGACATATAGACATTTTACTGACCCGGCCTCTAAACTGGTTCGGCTGGATATATTCGAACAAAAGACTTTACGCGAAAATTTAAATGCGTTTTTCTCAGACCAGTCTGTTTCAATACGACATCGATGATTTCTCCAGACTTCTACTGGACCGATTTAATTGAAATTTTCACATAATCTTCTTTATAGATCACTCGAGTATGACTTAGCCCTATCCCCTTATATTTCAATTTTTAATATTATATTTTTAAAAAATACGATAATATAAAATTGCGACATCATTGCAGATTGATAATCTTTTTAACTTCCCGCTAAGAAAATTGAAAATTTTCTAAAAATTGGGAAGTTATTGGTTTCACCCCATTTTGCAAAAATCGAGTTCTCAACAGATCTCGACGTTCTGAGGGTCGAGGAAGCTTCCCCGAACATTTTTACGATGATGACCGTATGTCTGTATGTATGTGTGGATGTGTGTGCGTGTGTGTGGATGTATGTAAACCTCTTATAACTTTTAAACGGCTCAACCGATTTGAATAAACTAAACAGCATTCCAAACGGTTTCATTGCACTTGCATTTCGCGTAAGTTTGGACCCAATCGGACCAGTAGATTTCGAGAAATCTCAAAAATAAATTCTTCCAACGACTTGGCCGATCGGCACCAAAACCTAATCAGTTCTAAACCTTGAAGAAACACATCGTTTGCCGCAAACCGGGTCGAAATCGGTTGATTTGCTTTCGAGAAATCGTTAACGAAAGAAATCACCAAAATTGATTAGTCTTTGAGAAATTTGGGAAATAGTTTTATATTAAACTCCCAGCAGTGAAAAAAGTGAAATTTGAACGTTAACGTATGAAATTAGCGGGAAGTTGCAGGGATGGCCCTTGAGGCCAACCGTTTTCCACATTTTTTTTTTCATTTCAGATGATAGATTGAAATCATGGGGATGCTTATGTGCCAATTTTTGGAGACTCCTCACTTCATCAGCTGCCACCTTTTCTGTTTTTATAAATAAATCGATGGTAAAAATATTGATTGCCTTTTTTTTACGACACTTTAAAAATTACCTAAACCTCATGCCTCTAGATTAAAATAACCTCTTAAGTAAGATTTTTTTTAATATAAATTTTCCATCTTTTGAACTTGGCCCTTCCTTACTTCTTCAATTATAATTTAAATGAAACTGAATAGGGATACCTGAGCAACCATGCGTTTAGTTAAAATGAAAATTAATATAATAGCGAGAAGTCAGCGCAAACGAACGTCTGTTCTATCGTCCTATGTTGATCGGAAGTGCCATTGGGAAAGTATTCTTATATTATCACTCCGTAATACAGAGTTATCATAGAAGATCAATGAATAGTCCAAAGTCATAGTTTAATTTATGTTTTTACATACAAGTATATTTGCTATATCGGGTTTTCGGTTGTAATTTGATCACAGTCAGAAAAGTTTCAGCAGATTAACATAAAGCTTATTTTCGCAGTACAGCAACAGCTGGAGCAGCAGCCACCACAGGCGCTGGGGCGGCGATCACTGGAGCTGCGGCATAAGCAGCTGGGAAAGCGGCGGAGTGGGCAATCGAATGAGCTGAGTAACTGCTGGCGTAGGGTGCGACGTAACCTGCATATCCTGCGGTGTAGGCGAGAGGGGCGGAGTAAGCAGCGGCGAATGGAGCGGCATAGGCAGCGGCAACTGGGGCAGCAGCGAATGGAGCGGAGTAAGCCAATGGGGCAGCCAATACACCGGGTTTAGCAGCACCGAAGGCAACAGCGAAGACAGCCAAGAAGCAGACAGCGAACTGTTAGAAAGGATGATAAATATTATATATTCTACGTATGTAAGTGAGGTAATTTCATTAAAACAGAAATGAAGTTTTCAAACTCACCAATTTGAACATTTTGTTAATTTTGAGTTTTGAACTTCTTTGCAAGCGAAGAGGTAAACGAATTGTGATATCTATAGTTAGGAAGCGACTAGCTTTTATACGAAATTCGGTGTTCGCGCACAGAAATGCGTGAAGTACTCAAAAGTGTGGTAAGATAATGGTTTTTTAATACTAAGTAGCTATTTATGCGTCACTCTTTGCAGTTGACATCGAATACATATTGTGTATTAAACACAACAAACCTTTTCTGCTTAACACTTTGTTGACTGTGGATAATTCACCTTATTGAAATGAGATGACTTGGAGGCCGGCGAATAGTATAGTTATGTTAGGTACATAATAATTATGTTGTCAACATGCTTCATTTTTGTAAGTGGAAATAGTAAATTCGATCCATGCCTTGACTTAGGTAATGTATCTGCGACAGTTTGAAAAATATTATAAATTTTGTAAAACGCAAATGTAACTTTATTCCGTACGTTATAAATGTATGGTCAGATAAATTTACTTTTATACAAACAATAAATAAACAACAATTAACAAAAGGTGGCTCATAATGTTAAACTTGATATATTGTCCATATTGCACAAACTAAACATTGATGGTCGTCCAGAGCGCGGTGCGTCTTAAGCGCGTACTCGGCCCGCTTTGAACTTGCTGCACCACTCATAAACTTTTTTGCGCCATAATTTGATCACAAAAGGACTTTAGCAACACTTTCAACATGCCCGCACAAAAATATGTATTCGTTTCGCAAACAAAATTTGATGCCAGTTATTTGCTCAGCTAAATTAACCATTTTAAAAATGGCATAATTCGGCTTTGGTTGTTTACATAATCATGTGCAACTCGGAGATAATTATGCCTTTTTACAAACAGACAATTGGCAATTTCACGTTACTTTCGGACCACAGTAGCATATGGTTATAAATCAAATGTTGTAAGAAAATCGTCGAATTAATAATAGGTTAAATAGAGGTTAGCACGATATTTTTGCAAAGGGTTGCTATCACTAATCGTCACATTATCATGAACACGAACAAAGTCTAACCTCAGAAACTTAACATGCGTTTCTGGGTACGTATTGACGGCGACAGAGAATATTAAATTCACATGAGCAAAAAAAATATATTTTTTGTTCTATAGTGTAATGCAGCAAATACAAAATTATTTCATTTATTTTCATTAAAACTTTATAACACCCGGCTCAAATTCAATTTCGCAATAGTTTTAAGGAATCATAGTACTTTAGTACGAGTAGCGATAAAAACATGAACACCGTTAGACAGGATATACAAGTTGAGTATTTTATTTTAAATTTCGTCAATTAAATTACTACCACAATTTCCATAGACATATTGTATTAAAGTAATTAGCATTTTCAACGATAAGTGAAAAGCCAAATACTAACTCCTCCAATATTGAATTCAGCGTTGACTTAAGAGAACAAGTATCTTATCGTACACTAAAACAAGAAAAAACGTTAACTTCGGTTGCATCAAAGCTATAATACCCTTCACAAATACAAAATATTCCTTACATGCACTTGATTCCGATTGTTCAGTTTGTATGGCAGCTATATGATATAGATGTCAAATATCGGCTGTTCCGACAAATGAGCAGCTTCTTAGTGAGGAAAGGACAGGTGCAAAATTTCAGACGGATAGCATGGTTAAATCAACTCAGCTCATCAAGCTGATCATTAATGTATACAAGTAGATTTTATAGCGTCTCCGACATTACCTTCTGCGTGTTATAAACTTTGTGGCAAACTTAATATACCCTGTTCAGGCTATAATTATAAAAATAATATTTTATGTATCAACAAACCTAGTATTATAAACGAGCGCGAAAACACTTAGTGCTTAAACACATGTTAATTTTGATTGGTGGGCAGTATTGGGAGAAAAATAAAACAAAGAAAATCCAATAATCCATTGATGTGTTAGCTGTCAAACAAACAAAGAATATTTTCGGGATTCGAACATTTATTATTTCGCAAAATCTCTGCAAAATTGGCCATTATTCCCACTGTACATTAATGACCTGATTAAAGTGCAGCAGTGTAATTTTGGACCAAGGGAAAGCCCTGCACAAAAATCCATTGTTATTGTGTTCAGGTTAGTCAAAACAACATAAAATATCCGATGATGGTTGCCTCTCAGACGTTACAACGGATATCCGCATCATTCCCATGTCCTCAAAATAGTCTCAGTTGATATTGCTGTAAATCTATAAAGAATTTGAACAGGACCTGTCATGGTTGGTACAAAATTGCACACAATATGTGAGCAATTATTTTATGATCGATTTTTAAGAATTGCATTTTCATATCGAAACATCAAACGGTTGTGCGGGGTTGGGATTTTTGATTGTATTAGTGATTTCTTTCCCTTGTCTGTAAACATTCAGTGCTTCGGCATTTTCACTGAATTTACTTTTTTATTCACTGAGTCTGCAGGTGGGCTCTTCACTATTTTAATGCTTAATCTTTTTAAATAGCAAATAATGAAAAACAATTTCGCATTCTAAACAAACAAGTTGAAATAATGAATTTAACAGTACATTATCATTAGCATAACGAATTTTATTGATAATTTAGCGCCATTTATTGTGACAACTTGAAGGTTTATTTCTTTGGGCTACCTATGATAATAATTTGCGCATATATATATAAGGTACATATAATAGTATCAGAAAACAAGTATGGAAGGGCTAAGTTCGGATGTAACCGAACATTTTATACTTTCGCAAAGTCAAATGGTATACTCGTTTTAGATTTCGTTGTGGATCTTGCAGCCTTGTTCTATGTTGACCCATATTTTCGGTAAAAAGTCAACTATAGGCACTAGAGTCCACATATTCAGTACCATGTGTACCAAGTTTCATAAAGATATCTCAATTTTTACTGAAGTTACAGACAGTCACCCGGATATCAACTCGTCTCTTCAACCTTTTAGGTGATACAAACAACCGTTAGGTGAACAAAACTATTATATTCTGTAGCAACAAGTTGCGAGAAAGATATTACAAATCACCGTTAAGTGAACAAAACTATTATGCTATGTAGCAATATGTTGGGAGAGTATAAAAATAAAACGGTTAGCTTCATTAGTAAGTAGAAAAGTGAGCAATGTCGATCGATTACAACCAGTCACCACTTGGTTTTCCATTTACTGTAAAATAGACGGGGTTTTATCCTTTCTAGATTTGTATACCAATTCTGTATAACTTCACCCAATTATAATACTCTTGCAATATGTTGCACTAAAGAATCACAACGTCGGTGGGTGGATGAGGAATGATAATAGCCATTCATTCATTCATTGATTCTCAGACATTTAGTTAGCTAAGCCAAAGAAAACGAAACGGAATATGGTTCTTGACCTAAAGAAATCTAAATTATTTGCAAGGACATATACTTACAATACTTTCCTCTTGCATATCCATTATATTTATTACTCCAACAGCTCTGAACTCAACCCTTCTTTGTTTATTTACCTTATCAATTTACAGTTGAATTTCCACGTATTTTGTATAGGTAACATTATTCTGACCCGGATTTTATCTTTCGTCAACTTACAGCCACTTTACACCAAAACAAATATGTCAGCTGTGTTCAAATTTGTATGACAGGTTACTCATTTCATTACTACTACTACACTACTACTATTTTTATATTAACGATCAATAGCAAATGCAGAACAAAACGATATATTTTCCCAGAAGCATTAATAAAATACTCGAACTGCAGTAGATGTTTACCTATCGAATAGTATTATTAACTTTCTTTAGATTTTCTAGCAAAAGCTCTCCCTAATTCTTGGTTAGAAGCATGCATTGAAATTATGGAGATATCATAGTTGATTATTGAACGAAGAAAAGCCAGAGTCATAGTTTAGTTTATATTATCACATACGCAATTTAGTAATATCGTATTTTCAATTTCAATTTCATCACAGACTCAAATATAAAATTTCACCTATTTCAAGCTTATTTGCGCAGTACAGCAACAGCTGGGGCAGCAGCGACCACGGGCGCTGGGGCGGCGATTACTGGAGCAGCGGCATAAGCAGCTGGGAAAGCAGCGGAATGGGCAATCGAATGAGCTGAGTAGCTGCTGGCGTAGGGTGCGACGTAACCTGCATATCCTGCGGGGTAGGCGAGAGGGGCGGAGTAAGCAGCGGCGAATGGAGCGGCATAGGCAGCGGCAACTGGAGCAGCAGCTAATGGTGCAGAGTAAGCCAATGGGGCAGTCAAGAGACCGGGTTTAGCAGCACCGAAGGCAACAGCGAAGACAGCCAAGAAGCAGACAGCGAACTGTTAGAAAGAATGATATAATATTATGTATACATATGACGTAATTTAATTAAAACCGAAATGAATTTTTCAAACTCACCAATTTGAACATTTTGTTAATTTTGAGTTTTGAACTTCTTTGCAAGCGAAGAGGTAAACGAATTGTGATATCTATAGTTAGGAAGCCACCAGCTTTTATACGAAATTAGGTGTTCGCGCAGAAAAAATAAAGGTGCGATAAAATAACGGTTTTGTAATACTAAGTAGACATTGTTGCTTCACTCTTTTCAGTGACATTGATTACACATTATGCATTAATCACTGTGGACTTCCAAAGGTTTTCGGTTTAAAACTTTGTTGAATGAACCAAAGTTAAATTATTATATTATAATTATATATGATGAATTTTAATAATATTATTATAATTGTTTGAGAAAATAAAATTTCTCTATCACATATATATGGTACATATATGCGTTTATGTTAATTGACAAAAAAAATATTACTCAAAAAAGTATCTGAAACTAGAAGGTTGGAGCGATTTCTTCCACTTTCGGTAAAAAACTCCCCTGTCGAAAGTGAAACTTTATGGTAATTCATATTTCAGCACCTCCTTCGACATGGCTGAAATTGGATTATAACCCTGCCCACTTCCCATATAACAGTTATGATGAAAACTACTAAATACATACGTCAGAAACATTAAATTTGACGAGCTATATGATCAGTGACGGATCTTGAATTTTTTTCTGGCAACGGTTCTACAGAAAGAAATTTTCTTCCAACCCTTTTTTGTACTCTTGCTACATGTTGCTACAGTTTTGTTCACCTAACTGTTATTTGTAACACCTCTATCTAATCGAGATAGGTATAGAATTATATTATACATGTATATAAATAATCATGATGAGGAGACAAGTTAAAATCTGGGTGACTGTCCGTCCATGCAAGTCTAACTTGAGTAAACATTAAGATATCTTAAGGAAATTTGGTACACGTGTTTCTTGGCAAAAAAAGACGACGAGTTCGCCACTAATCGAAAACTTATAAAATACCATAACTTAGCACTAAATTGAGGCAAACAATTTTAATTTGGGATAGGTAATTACAGAAGCAAGAGTAAGTCCTTTAAGGTTTATTGTTCATACCTCCGAATCCACTAAAGCTACAGTAATTAAATTTGGTCAGAACAAAGCCTACAGGAACCCCTAAGAAAAAGAATTAAGACCTGAAAGTTTCCGGAAATTGTAAATTAAACGAAAATTTTGTAATCTTCATCAATATTTATTTTGTCGCCTTCAAAATATGCTTCTTCTGAGGTGATACACATATGCTACCTTTCTGATAATTTTCTTTTACGGCCTCTATCTAATAAAACGGGTTAAACGCAGTCGTACCTTGAGTTTTGGAAACAAAAAACAAAAAAAAAAGTTGCATGGGACCAAATCCTGTGAATACGGTGGTTGATTGATGGCATTGAACGAGTTTTTGGTCTTCAAATCGTTCATTCTACTCTGTAGCAACATGTTGTGCCATGAAACCAAAAAATATTACTTATAGAGAAGAAACCCAAGAATTCAATTCAGTTGGAAGGAAAAAAGTGTAGCGTACAAACAAACATTTCATATAAAATCAAACTTATTAAAATATTAACAATTTATATGGTTACCGTTAGCTAAAATAGTCCATTAATACTATATTTCTGTCTGAAAAGAAACGCTTTGTAGGAGCTGCATTGTGTATCGCGGGGTTTTCTTATTGAAAAATCCATCTGAAAACTCTGTTAAGATGCTGTTTAATAGTTCTACATAATTCATAGTATTCATTTTATGTGTTAAAAACAAATCAGAGTTGCACCATTGTACCCGAAAGCTGACCAAACTATGAGGGATCCTCCTTGTTTCTTGTGGGCGTCGAATATCTTTCCAACTTTTTTATTGTCTTTAGAACCACTTTTTTCCGCTTGCCGTCCCACAACAAGTGCCTTTGGGCATATTGCATCCGTGCAGTTTTGTGTTTTTGTTTTTATCACCCTTTGGAGACTACTTACTTTTCGCTAAAATGATTTCGCTCTGAATGAACAAGGGCGCAAATTAAACAAAAAGTAACTGTACTAAAAAAGTTCTGGTAGTACTAACAGGTCATCATCAAAAATGAACCAGTACGTCGTAATTGCGTACATGCATTAATTTTCTAAAAACGCATGTGTACTTCGATAAATTCCCTTTCATAGTTTGTACACTACTTGTATAACATACATATTTCGTGGACTGTAGCACAATTTTAAATCCCATTCTTGATTCTTTCACTTTCCAGTACACAAATCAAGCACCAATGAATATATTCAGATGAAACTTTGCACTTTGTACATTCGAGGTATGCCATCTCGAATCTAAGAATTGTGAAAATCGGACCATAACTGTTCAGGCCCCCACTTACCGAATATGGGGACCACAGTGCGTATGGCTGACGTTTTGCCGAAAATATCGGCCAATCTGATTGATATGTTATTGAACTTCAGGGAAAATGATTTCTTGATAATACAAGTAATATACGCTTATGTAAAAACAATACTTCACTTAGCCCTCAATTTCCAGAACACTCTATAACACATATATCATCAATGTGGGATTTGTTTTAGTGAAATTGATAGAGCGTCTTTTTTAATAACAGTGTATCTTTCTGCTTAAAATAGATAAAATCTGGCGAAAGCTTGCCTTAGCCCCATATAACTGATATTTAGGATTTTGAACTGACCTGACTTTACTTTACATATATATATTTGAAATATTTCTTTAAAATAGTTATCAAATTTACCACAGTAATGTCAAAATATATCCTATAAAATTATTTCCGACTTTCTACTAGATTTTAAGCCGTTTAAAATGGTCGAAATATGTGATATTTAATGAAACATTACGTTTAACGCTATCTTAAAAGTTACAAAAATATATTTATGATTTTGTGCTCAATATAAATGAAATTGGTTGATCTAAACCTAATATCACTACTTTTATGAATTTCGATCTTTTGGTTGACGTTTTTCACACCAACTCAATGTATAAAATTTATCCTCTTCGGTTGAGTTTATGTCAGATATATCTCATTTGAGGATGATTTTAGTATAATTTTCACAAACCGGAAGTAAAATATACCATAGAAATAAAACTAATGGAGCCTATGACCTTCAAAATAAGTTAATCTAAAATGCATTCACGATTTCGTCGAACAATAAATATTGAATTCTTTCACAACATTTTAGTATAAAGCTTTGCTAACACCTGAAGGTACATGTTACCCCGGCTTTGATCTTGGCTCTAATGTTATAATAGTAGCGGACTCTATGAATCGGCCTATTAACTACTTCGTACATGCAACTGTTCCTATCAATTTTTTAAGCAAAAGTTCGTAAACTAAGTTCAGAAATACCTGTTATTTTAAATACAGACTGTGAGCAACGTGAAAGTGAAAATAAGAACATGTAGAGGAGATGATCTCAATCAAAATTAAATCATAAAAGCATATGTTGTGAAGTAATTTTAAATCATGAAATGCAATTTACTATTCTATTTTGGTGGACAGTCTGACTAAAATAAAATAAAGAAACAATATAGAATGGTTAGTATGTTGTATTTAAAAAATTTTGCACTAAATATTTGAAATAGGGCAAAATGCAGACAAAAACTTTCATTTGATCTTCGAACACGTTGAAGAAGTATGTACTGCACTAGACACAGAACGCAAGGTACCACCATACAGTTGTCGCCAAATATATCATTTTAATCTAAAAACGAAGGCCCCAAAATACTATCGCATTGCACTTTACATCCCTTTTCTCGACAAATATATTTCTCAATTGAAGAACAGGTTTCTAGACCACTAATTAGTTTTGTATAAGTTTTGTTTTCAAATTACGATTTTGACTAAGAAAAAACTTCATATTTTATGTTCTATGCCATGAAATATTTCTCATGAAGGTTAAGATGTGGAATCAGCGAACTTTAGACAAACATTTAAGAAACGCTCCCGATGCGTTATCCATTAAAAAAAGAAATTTCTCAGCCAAATGTATTCTTAAAACCCCCGAAAGTCTTCCGCGAATCCGCCACTGTATATGATAGAGAAGAGCTGCAAAATTTTACACTGCACTACATGATAACAGCTTTCTTTTATGTCATTAATGAATAAAATCGGGTAAATATGAATGAACTAATGAAGCGGATAATATTATTTAGATATTACAAAGAATTTGCATTCAATTTTGTGTGAAAATGGAATTAAGTGCTCAAAAACACTAGAAATGTTGACAGTGGCATACGGTGAATGTATAAGCTTTTCAAAGAAGGCCGAGGAGATGTGTATGACGACGCTCGCACATCAACAACCGATAAAAAAAGAAAGTAAAAAAAATGTTATTGAGAATCGAGAAAAAAAAAGGTTATCAGAGAAGTTGCAGACGATGTCGGCATATCGGTTGGTTCATGCCAAGGCATTTTCGGAAGTTTTGGACATGAACGGGTGACCAATCATGGGTATATGGTTATCACATCGGAACCATGGTCAAATCGTTCCAAAGGAAGAGCCCAGGGGAGCCAAGGCCAAAATATAATCGCTGAGAGAGCTCAAAAGCATACCAAAAAATGCATATTAGAACTGCTTCGAAGATTGGAAAAAACGCTGGCATGAGGGGGGACTACTTTGAAGGGGACAAAATAAAAAAACCCATCAACACAGTATTTCGAAAATCTAAGAAATATGATATAATCCGCACGACTGTTAAAAACTTTCTCTATTATTTTAAGGTTTTCAGATTTATTTAATGTTTTTGATATTGGTTAAGGTCATCACAGTTTTCAAAATATTTATTTTTTTGCAAACTACTTCTTCAACACAGCAACAGATGGGGCAGCAGCAAGCACTGGCGCCGGCGCGGCGATCACTGGTGCAGCAGCATAGGCAGCTGGGAAAGCGGCGGAGTGGGCAATCGAATGAGCTGAGTAGCTGCTGGCGTAGGGTGCGACATAACCAGCATATCCTGCGGTGTAGGCGAGGGGGGAAGAGTAAGCAGCGGCGAATGGTGCGGCATAGGCAGCAGCAACTGGGGCAGCAGCGAATGGAGCGGAGTAAGCCAATGGGGCAGCCAACACACCGGGCTTAGCAGCTCCGAAGGCACCAGCGAAAAGAGCCAAGAAGCAAACAGCGAACTGTAAACACAGAAATATGTACCATATATGAATGGCTTCGAAAATCCTTTTTTGGACTTACCAATTTGAACATTTTGTTAGTTTTGAGGTTTTGGACGTATTTACAAGCGAAGAGGTAAACGAATAGTGTTATAAAATATCGACAAAACGTTTGTCTTTATATCTGAAATGTATGTATGCTGACAAATGTTAAAGGGACGTGCTTATGCTACAAATTAGGCGTTAATACGTCACGGTTCTTTGCTGGCTTCACGAGTAACATATGTTCGGTACTACTACTAAAACTACCTAGTTCCTGCAGTTTGCTTGGACTATGAAGCTTTTAATAAATGTGTTTTTGGAAGTGTCGAGGGGTAGGTTATTATTAATCTATAAACTTAACATCGGAGCAGGCTCTAGAAGACTATTATCGAAATATTAATGAAATAATGGAAATAGTCGAGTCCGACCGTCATGTAAGCACTATTTCCATTGCCCAGGAGCTAAACATTGCACAAAAGAGCACTTTGCATAGATGCCACACTAGTTAGCGCATGAAAACCTCATGGACAAAGATTAGATTGATGATCAGGAAGGTTTTACTATGTGTTTGGTGGAATTAGCAGGAAATCATCTACTATGAGCTATAGGCGTGCGGTCAAACTCTTAGTTCGGTCAGGTACTGTCAACAAATTGACCATCTGAAGGAAGCAAACTCTTAGAAACAACTAGTAACATATTTGACCAATAAAAAGAGAATTGTGTTCCATCAGCTAAACACCAGGCTACACACAAAAATAATGACTCACCAGAAACCCGGGAGCTTGCTTGGAAGGTTACTATGCATCCACCTTGCAGTCCGGACCTTACCTAATACTTATACTTGAAATACTTATATACACACTTATACATATATTGTAATGCATTAACCAAAGCTTGATTTTCAATGCCCGTTTCTATTTGAAAGCAGATCATCCTTACTTGTTTTAATGCCTTTTTGTTTTATGAAAAATTGTGAACTATTAAAAGGTAATAAACATTTATATTCTTTATACTTGTATGGATATGTCTGCCATGTACGTTATATGGTATATACATATATGTTGTGACAGGCATTTGCTTGAACTTAATTGCGTCCAATTGGGAAATTAAGTTCATTTCAACTATTGGAAGAACGCTCTACTTTATACGTGCCAACATTTGTTAACTCTACTAAACAGAAGACAGTTGTCGTTGCAAAAATTAACGATATCAGCTGGTGCGTAGGCTTTGCAATGTGTCACGTGACCGGCATACCTAAACCATATGCACGAGCATATATCATGGTATGCTTTATTTGTCAACAAAGGTAAAAAGTTAAAACGTGTTAAATGTCCAAAAAACCACATGCAATAACAACAAGCACAAAAATACTAAACACAAAATGGGAATGAGAGGTGATTTGCATAAAAATTGTATTGGCGCATGCGCAACGGCCAGCGAACACAGCCGTTGCCATCCTCAACACGACAGATGGCCGTGAATATTAGCGTCCACATACACATTCGCACATATGCATGTAAACAAGTACGTGATCTGCTTTGATTACCAATGCATTTTTAGATTTATGCTCTTCACTTGAACGCTGGAATTTCGGCAATTTACCTTTGGAATTAGCTAAATACTCAAAATTGTGGGGAATTCGGTGGCGAATTAGCTTGTGAATATGCAACTAGCATTTGCTAATGCTATAAAAAATCAGAAGGAATTTTTTAAATCACTGTTTATTTATTTATTTATTTATGCGCTCATTTGCCAAAAATGTGCAATAACTCGTGCGGCGCGTATAAAAGCCCAACCAAGGGAGCCAACTCAACATATTCGTCTACAACCGCACTGAAAGCGCACAGTGAATTTCAGCCTTTGCAAAAGAATCACTCCAAAAACTCTTAACAAAATGTTCAAATTGGTAAGTAACAAAAGAAAGTACACTGCTGAGCAGTTTCGCTAATAAGAGGACTAACTATTACTTTTCCCTTTCAGTTCGCTCTCTGCTTCGTAGCCCTCTTCGCCTGTGCCTTCGGTGCGGCCAAACCAGCGCTCCTGGCTTCTCCATTGGCATACTCAGCACCATTGGCCGCTGGCCCTGTTGCTGCTGCCTACGCCGCGCCGGTAGCCGCTGCTTACTCCGCTCCCCTCGCCTACACTGCTGGTTATGCGCCCTACATTGCTCCCTATGCTAGCAGCTACACCGCTCATGGCGTCGCCCATACTGCTGCTTTCCCTGCTGCCTACGCTGCTGCTCCATATGTTGCCTCATATGCCGCTCCAGCCGTGGTTCCCGCTGCACGCTTCGTCGCCTCAGCTGCTCCGGTAGTTGCCGCTTCTCCCGCATTTGCCGCAGCCCCAGCCGTCGCTGCTGTTCCAGTTGTGAAGAAATAAGTTTTTATTTAGCAATTGGACTATACTATTTGAATTGATAAGGATAAAGCAAAAATAATAAAAAAAAAGACTCAACGAACTGATTTAACGATGTTTTTCAAATTTATAAGGTACAGTAATTGTATGGAAAAATTTACTACTGGGCTCCATCAGGGACACGTCAAATTTGTACTTAGAACATACTAAACACAATCTCAGGTATGAATAACTCTAGCATGTTATCATTGCCAACTGTAGCGATAATATATATAGGGGTTGGAGCTTCAATCAAAGGTATCTCGCCGGGTTTGTTCCTTGTAAACCGGAGATTGTAAAATGTCTGATATTAGTACTTTCTTACTTGTGCCACGTAGAATAAGATAGTAGAATGATTTTTTATGAAAAATTAGGCGACTTTGCAGATTTCTTGTATTAAGTTATATTTGAGGTGTAACTAGATCAGAGATTGTCACTGTAAAAGTGATTATTTCAACAAGTTGATATAATTTTATATAATTATTTAAGTTAGTTACATGTCAGAAATACCATTAAATATATTGATAAACAACTAAGAAGGGTTAAGTTCGGGTGTAACCAAACATTTCATACTCTAACAACTTGCAAGGAACAAATCCGGCTAAATACCTTCAGGTGTTGGCAATAATATAAAATGTAGCAAAATGGTTCAACTTTATTGTTCGACGAAATCGTGGGATTACAATCAAATTTGGTATAATACTAACTTATTTTGAAAGTCTATGGCCTTAGTTTTATTACTAAGTATATATTACTTCCCGCCAACGAAAATTGTATATTATATAAAGTCAACCGATGAAGCTAAATTTAATATATTGAATTGATGTGAAAAACGTCAACCAAGGGATCACAATTCAATATATTAGGGTTACGAGGTTTAGACCAAGAACAATTTCATTTATATTGAGTGCCAAACCAATAATATAATTTTATAACTTTCAATAAAACGTGTCCACCTAATTTCATTAAAGTATAACACATTTTAATTAACCTAATCGATTTAAAGTCAGGTGGAAAGTCAGAAATCATTAGAGGCAGAAAAATGACAACCACTGCATTAATTTTTGACATTTTTATACTCTCGCAACCTGTTGCTACAGAGTATAATAGTTTTGTTCACCCAAAGGTTGTTTGTATCACCTAAAACTAATCGAGTTAGATATAGGGTTATATATATTGTACATATATAAATGATCAGGATGAAGAGACGAGTTGAAATCCGGGTGACTGTCTGTCCGTCCGTCCGCCCGTGCAAGCTCTAACTTGAGTAAAAATTGAGACATCTTTATGAAACTTGGTAGACATGTTTCTTGGTACCGTGAGACGGTTGGTATTGCATATGGGCGTAATCGGACCACTGCCACGCCCACAAAACGCCAATAATCAAAAACAAATAAATTGCCATAACTAAGCTCCGCAATAAGATACAAGACTCTTATTTGGTATATAGAATCACAATAGGGAGGGGCATCTGCAGTTAACATTTTTTTTTTAAAGTGGGCGTGGTCCCGCCCCTAATAGGTTTAATGTGCATATCTCGCTAATGCTACAATAACAAAATTCACTGGAAGCAAATGTTTTTAGAACTTCTACCTACAGTGTGAAAATGCGTGAAATCGGGTGGCAACACCGCCCACTCCCCATATAACGGTACTGTTAAAAACTACTAAAAGCGCGATA